TTCCGCATCTTTACTGAGCTTCTTTGTGGATGTTGTGTCCTTCACCAAAAGTGGTGTGTTGAAGTCTCCTACATTACTGTGTTTTTTAATCCATTCTGCCACTCTGTCTCTTTATTTGCGCATTTAGTCCATTCACATTCAGCATAATTAGTGATAGGTATGAGTTTAGTGCTGTCATTATGTCTTTTTGTGTGCTGTCGACAGTTTCTTTGTTCCACTTAATTTTCTGTGCTGAGTCATTTTTCTTTATGTATTTTCTTTTCATCGTTGTTGATTTTGTATTTGCTTAGACTTTATGTTTTTCTTGATTTTTTTATTTTGATGTGTAGGACTGGTAGTCTCCTTTGTGGGTACCTTAATATATACCTCTATTTTTCTAAGTTTAAACCATTCTTTTATTTCTTTATATCAACTTGACTTCCTCTCCATTTGAAAGATCTATGATTACATTTTTTAGTCCCTCTTTTTTGTTTTAATGTTGTCATCTTTTACATACTGACGTCTCTGTTCCCTATTTTCAGTGTTTTAGCTCTGATTTATTTTTTGTGACTTCCCTATCTGGGTTGACATTTGGTTGCTGTGTCTTGTGTTCTAGTCCTGGGTTGTTATCGGATGTTATTAATTTTCTAACTGGAGGACTCCCTTTAGTATTTTTGTAATTTTGGTTTGGTTTTTTTCAAACTCCCTATACATCTATTTATCTGGAAATGCTATAATTTTAACATATTTGAGAGACAGTTTTGTTGGATATATAATTCTTGGCTAGCAATTTTTTTCCTTCAAGGCTTTATGTATGTCATCCCATTGCCTTCTTGCCTGCATGGTTTCTGTTGTGTGGTCCAAGCTTAGTCTTACTGACTTTACTTTGTAGGTGCCTTTTCGTTTATCTCTACCTGCTCTTAAAATTCTCTCTTTAGCTTCGGTTTTGGCAAGTTTGATTATAATACGTCTTGGTGACTTTCTTTTGGATCTACCTTATGTGGGGTCCGATGAGCATCTTGGATCATCGATATCAGGGAAGTTTCCTACCAAAAAATCTTCAACAATTCTCTCTGTATTTTTTGTCATCCCCCTCTGTTCTGGTATTCCAATCACTTATAAGTTATTCCTCTTGTTAGAGTCCCACATAATTCTTAGGGTTTCTTCATTTTTTAAATTCTTTTATGTGATTTTTCCTCAAATCAGTGATGTCAAGTGCTTTATCTTCAATTTCACTAATTCTGACTTCCATTGCCTCAATTCTGCTCCTATGATTTCTATTGATTTCTTTAATTCTGAAATTTTATTGTAATCTTCTGGATTTCTGATTGTTGTCTCTCTATGTATTCTTGCAGCCTGTTAAATTTGTCATTATGCTCTTCTATAATCTTCTTAAGTTCCTCTATTGCTTTGTCTGTGTGTTCCTTGGCTTGTTCTGCGTTTTGACTGATTTCCTTTCATGATCTCTTGAAGAGTTCTATATATTAATCTTTTGTATTCTACCTCCAGTAATTCCAAGAAGTTCTCTTCCTCTGGAAAATTTCTTGATTCTTTGTTTTGGAAGCTTGCTGAAGCCATCATGGTCTGCATCTTTATGTGATTTGATATTGACTGTTGTCTCCGAGCCACCAATAAGTTATTATATTTATTTTATGTTTGCTCACTGTGTCCTAGCTTCTTGTTTTGTTTTGTTTTGATATGCCCGAACAGGCTGCTCGTGTTAGCTAGTTTGATTACTGGCGCCTCTGAAGCTCTAAGGTGGTTAGGTCTGTTACTAGGTATGTTAGCCCATAGGTCTGTTTACTTTTTTTGTATGGATTCAGCTCAGGTGTCCAGGTAGTCGGTCACCAGGTGGGTGGTGGAAGCTCTCACCTACAGTCCTAGACGTACACAGATGACTGGTATAGGCACAGGTATCTGGCTGCAGTGGGGGTCACGCACTGAGCAAGGTATGGGGCTGACGGCTGCCCCTGAGTATCTGCAAGGGAAGTGTCCCTGTTCCCTAAAGCGCGCAGGTGGGTGGGTTTTGCAGCCGGACTATGAGCACCCAATGCTGTTGGCTGTAAGGACCGGGAGGCACACTTATTCTTGGACCCTTGTCACAGATGGCTACATGGTATGGGTGGAGCCACCAGTCCTCAGGGCCCTGGTTAATGCGCAGAGCAGTGTCAAATGTCACAAACCTGCCACTTCACCATATAGTTGATACAGCTGAAGTTAGGCTTCAGGTATATACCCTGTTGTAGTGTGGTAATGAGGACCTACACTGTTGAAATGGGTCCACACAGGTCTATGCAGAAGTGAAAGGCATTCAAAGTCTGTGGACCCCTTATGCCTGTGCCTAGGCAAATGAGCTGTGCCTACCCTGAGTTCCTGGCTTAGGGGAGCTGGAAGATTATTTTTTCCTGTTTAATTTATTCCCTCTCCAAGGCCAGGAGAATGGCTCAGGGCGCAGGATGGACCCTACCTCCGGCCCAGGGAACTCGGCAATCGCTGAAGTCAGCCCCAGACCCGGTTTACAGTGGGAAGGGTCAGGTAAATGGGAGAGAGGTTTCTCTAAAGGAGGTGTTTTTTGATCCATGTGGTAGGTCAGATGCATGTACTTATCTTCTGCTGACTGAGCGCCGCTTTTCACCGGTTCTTGAGGCTTGAGTAGACTCTCTGCCACTCAATCTCTCTCGATGTGGAAAACATCTCCTGAGCGCCACTGCTTGCCTCACTGCGCACACCAGCCGATCGGCCTGAAGGGTGCCGCCTCCCGCCGGGTCAGGTCTGGCAACTCCTCGTTGCTTCTAAACCATCTCTCCCTCCCCCTGCCACTCAGTCTGATTCCTCAACTTTGCCTTTGATGTTCAGGGCTCCTATACTGTCATATACATAATCGATTCACTTGTTTTTTCAGGTCTTTGTTGTAAGAGGGACCACAGGAAGCGTTTGACTACTCTGCCATCTTGGCCCCACCTCCTTGTTTTAATTCTTGACTGCTGCTTCCAAGGAGGTTGACTGTGGAGCCAAGTAAAATGGAATCCTTGACAACTTCGATCTTTTCTCCATTTACCACGATGTTGCTTATTGTACTATGCACAGTATAGAATATTTTTGTCTTTAGAAACATACCACACAATTCCAGAGACAATATGGTTTCTTGTATGTTAATATGTATGTGACACATACCTACTGTCAATTTATGACAATTACTTTAGCAAGTCAGTAGTCAGAGGAGAGGTAGACTGGGGCCAGGGACTAGTGAACCAAGTAAAGAGTTTGGATTTTATTCTAATTATGTTAGGAAACCATAAAAGTTAAGCAGGAAAATAGCATAATTTACATGAAAAAAAAATACCTTGGCTGCTTTGTAGAAGATGAATAAGTTAGGCAGTAGTAATACAGGAAAGTGATGCGGTTTGAACTAGAGTAGTGATGGTGATGATGATACAAAAAACCACACACACACACACACACACACATACACACACACACACACGCACACACACACACAAAACAGTTGCTGTCAAACTGATTCCAACTCATAGCAACCCCACGTGTTGCAGAGCAGATCTGCGCTCCATAAGATTTTCAAAGCTGTGATCTTTTGGAAGTAGATTACCAGGCGTAGATTCCAAGGCACCTCTGGGTGGGTTCAAACTGCCAACCTTTCAGTTAGTGGCCAAGCACTTAACCGTTTGCACTACCCAGGGACTCTAAGATCATGATTGTTGCTGTGTGCTGTCAAGTTGATTCTGACTCATAGAGACCCCATGTGACAAGAGTAGAACTGCCCCAAAGGGTTTTCTAGGCTATAATCTTTATAGGAGCAGATCACCAGGTCTTTCCCCTGTGGAGCTGCTGGGTGGGTTTGAACCGCCAACCTTTTGGTTAGCAGGTGAGTGCTTAACCATTGCCACCAGAGCACCTATGATGAAGATAAGTACCTTTAAATCTCATAAAAACCCTTTGAGGTAGGTACTATTATCTATTTGAGCAAGCCAAGACAGAAAGAGATTAAATAACTTGCCTAAGATCATACTGCTAAGTAGGAGTCAAACTGGACTCAAACCCAAGCAATCTGGCAGAAAAGCTGAGCTCTTAATCAGGTACAATATCCAGCTATAGTATTAAAATGAAGACAAGAAGATGAGGTAGGAAAATGTTTTAGAGTTATGGTTGCCAAGACTTATTAATGAACTGGATGTAGAGATAAGGGAAATAAAGAAAAGAATGACTCCTAGGTTTTGCTTGAGCGACTAGGTGAATTTACTAGCATAATTTAATAAGATGGGAAAGATTAAGAGAGAAATACATTTCGGGGAGAAAATTAAAGATGGTTTTAGACCTACCAAGTTTAAAATGCCTGGTAGACATCCTGGGGGGATGTCAAGTTGTTAGTTGAATTACAGGAGTCTGGTATTACAGGAAAAAGTTTGGACTAAAAATAAAAATTTGAGGGACATCTGTACGTGCTAGGTGAGAGATGAGATGATAAATAGAGAGGATGTAGAATATAAGGAAAAGGGGTCCCAAGACCCAGCCCTAGAGTACTCTAACATTTATAAGCTGAAGAGAGGAGGATTCAGCAAAGGAGGCTAAGAAAGCACAGCCAGTGCTTAGAAGGAAAATCAGGAGAGTGTAGTGTCATGGAAGCCAAGAGACTACTTCAAAAGGAGGAGTGAGGAGGCACGTGTGCTGCTGAGAGTTTGTGTTAAGATGAGTGCAGAGAAGGGACCGCTGGATTTTGCAACACGGAGGTCTACTAATGAAGCTGAAAAGAACAGTATCCTCCTAAATTTCCTTGTGCCACTGCACTTACCTTGTTACATTTCTCATTTCTACACTTTAAGCTCCTACGCAGTGACTGTGAGTTTTAGTTCTAAATCTCTATCTGCTAATCACAATGCTTCAAGTCAAATTGTAATTATATAGACGCTAAATTAATTCAAAGTGTTTTCTAGTCTGATGAGTAAAGCAAGGATTTCCATATGATGTCACGCAGCCTTCCATTTCCCACCTCCTAATTCACATACCGTAAGAGATCCGTTTTGTGTGCTGGGTGAGTTGCTACTCTGCTCTCCGTGGGCTTGTGTACTGCCGTAGAGTGTCAGGTTATGCTCACTGGTCTGGCCGGCATAGTCCTGAGTGTGTGGCACTCCGTATTCTGTGGGAATTCCATTCTGTGGAGGTGGTGGAAATGGGATGGTAGTAAAAGGCTGAACCATTGCATCAGGAGTTGTTGTTGTCTCCTGGTTACCCTAATACAAATAGTGAGAAAGAGAGAAAAGGAAGATAAAAAGTGACTTTAAATTCTCATTACATAATTATTTTTAAGATGAATATATAGAATTCTCTGCATATTCTCTCACTGCTCAGGTAAAATAGAACACTTACTGAGGAAAATATTGTTACACAAACACACACCCTACTTATGTCAATTTGTGGTTACTAGACAGGTCCACAATCATATTAAAGCTGACTAGATGCTAAAGAGTCAAAACTTTTCCTTTAAACCAAGTTTAAAAAAAAAATGCCAGAAAATATCTCAAACAAGATATGCTATAAAATCACTGTAGAGTTCAAATTAGTTTGTGCTTCTAGTATTTTCTTTAGAATACTCTCTATTCTTTTAGTGATTCTCAAGAGGAAACCAAAAGGAAATTAATCAATTTTAAAATTATAATTCATAGCAATAGGAAGAATGATATTATAAATTAAAGTCTTAAAACCAGCCAACAAGGACCTCTAGATTTTTAGAGCAGAGTCCAGGAGAAGTATGTTACTAAAAAATTAATCTTTGTATTTCAAGGTAGAGATTGACTTGAGACTTGGCTACTAGGTTAATAAAACAAAATAAGAATCCTTTCCTTTAATTGGAAATATCAGAAATAGAGAAAAATTTCCCACGACAAAATATCAGAAACAGTATTTTTCATAATTACTGTCAGATTATAAGGCTTCCAACACAGCAGAACTCCTCTCCACCTGACATCATTCCCAGATGCGTATCTGGGGTCCAGTGTGATATATGAAATAGCAATAAGGAATCTACATTAGCTACAGAAAATTATTAGAGGCTATTTTGGCTCTATAGCTCCTCTCTCACTCTGTCTTCAAGTTCTGGTGCAATGGAGGGTTTAAATCAGGTGCAACAGATACTGAGAAACCTTCTCTACCTTCCCTTCTCAATGACTGACCTCCTCACCTCCCATTTTATTTCACAAAAAGCAAAATCATTATTTTACTGAAGATATATATCAGCAAACTCTTGAGACACCTTCTTGGATGTAGGTGGCAGAGACAGCTAAAGGCTTCAAATGTTAGCACTTAGATAAGCTTTCCTCCCATGTTTTAGACATCACAACTTTAGAGATTAAAAGTTGAAAATCTGGGTTTATGTCCTTTGTTTCTCCCAGTATGAGCATCCATCTTTCAAACAAGGAGTAGTTATTCACTTTTCTCAGCCTCAATTATCCTTCCGGAGAGGAGATCCTCTAACCACTGAGAATCCAGGAACTTTCAGCAGCATTTTCTAAATATCACCTCAGACTTTCAACATTAACTTGACAGCCATTAAACTGATACTACCTTTAAAAAAAAAAAGTCCAAAGCTGCATAAATAAAATCAGGTATCAGGGGAACTACAGAAATCTGGTTACATCTTTAAGTCACCATGTAACCTTTAAGAAAATCTCTCATTCTGTCATTTGATTTTCTTCGAATTTATGTTCTGCCTTGACTTAGTAAAAAGAGAAATGTAGTTGGACCTGCAAGACTTGACTTTGAATTCCAACTCTGCCATACACAGATCCTGTCACTTTGGGCAAGCCATTTTACTGCTTTGAAGCTTAGTTTGACAGATAAAGAAACTAAGTAGGGGTTAAGGAGCCCTGGTGGCGCAACGGTTAAGTGCTCAACTGCTAACCGAAAGGTTGGCAGTTCAAATACACCAGCCACTGCGTGAGAGAAAACACCTGGTGATCTGCTTCTGTAAAGATTACAGCCTAGGAAACCCTATGGGGCAGTTCTACTCTGTCCTATAGGATCATTATGAGTCGGAATTGACTCGAGGGCACACAACAATGTAGATTTGAACAAGTTTTATGTAATATTTAATATGAATTCACTGGAAACCTTGGTGACGCGGTGGTTAAGAGTTTGACTGCTAAGCAAAAGGCTGGTAGTTCGAATCCCCCAGGCGCTCCTTGGCAACCCTATGGGGCAGTTGTACTCTGTCCTATAGGGTTGCTATGAGTTGGAACTGACTCGATGGTAATGGTCTTTTGTTTTTTTTTTTTTAATATGAATTCATAGATTTTACATACTTGTCTAATGCCTATGGAAAAATATATAAAAAGTCAATCACCTAAATTAATCTAAAGAAGACCTTGACAAATCCTTAAAAGTTAATATTTTACAAACCACATTCACGAACTATTCTTTAGGAAGAGTAAGAATCAATTACCAAAAAGTGACCAAAAATTGTAACCACATGGAAATTAAGAAACACTGTTGTACATAACATCTGGATCAAAGAATAAAAAGTGAGACTATGAGCAATCTTAAAGTACTGAAAATAAGTATCTCTCATATTAAAATCTAGAGGATACAGTTAAAGCTGTACACAGAGGAAAATATTTCTATGTGCTTTTATTATACAGAAAGAAGATAAAAGATGAATTAAAAATTCAAACTAAAGGCATTAGAAAAAGGGTAAACTAAAGAAAGTAGGAAAAAGGAATTACTAAAGCTAAAATTAATAGAAATTAAATTTTAAAAGAACACTGCCAACCTAGATGAAACAAAGACCTTCCAACAAACCAAATGATCAAAACTGACTCAGTAATTGATAGAACACCCTGAACGGAATATTCACAGGATAACTGTCAAGAAAAAATATTTTTAAATGCCCAAGGTCCTAATGGTTTTTCAAACGAGCACAGGCTAACCTTCAACATCACACTGGAAGTCTTAACCAACGCAATACTAAAACCAAAACAAACCTGTTGCCATCAAGTCGATTCCAACTCACAGCGGCTCTACTGGGCAGAGTGGAACTGCCCCATAAGGTTTCCAAGGAGCAGCTGGTGGATTTGAACTGCTGACCTTTTTTGGTTTGCAGCCATAGCTCTTAACCACTGTGCCACAAGGGCTCTAATCAATGCAAAGGAAAAAAAAAAGAAAGGCATAAATATTGAAAAAGAAGTAAAACCGTCCTTATTTACTGAAAATACAGTTATATATCTAAAAAACCTTACAGAATCCATAAAGCTACAACTAGAATTAATAAATGAGTTCTGCAAGGTCACAGGATATAAAACCAATTACACTTCCACATATCAGCAACAAATAACTGAAAAATGAAATTTTAAAAATATGAATTACAACAGCACCAAAGCAGAATATGAAATAACTAGGAATAGATCTAACAAAGATGTAAGTGATCTCTACACTGTAAGTTACAAGACATTGCTAAGACAAATTAAAGAAGACCTACATAAATGGAGAAATACGTGGTCATGGATTGGAAGACTCAATATTGTTAAGACAACTATGCACCCCGATTCCACAAAGCCAAAAAAAATTCCAGCAGGCATTTTTGCAGAAACTGACAAGTTGATATTAAAATTTATATGCAAATGCAAAAACCCTAAAATAGTCAAAACAATTTTGAAAAAGAACAAAATTAAAGGGTTAAACTACCTTATTTCAAGACTTACTATGAAGCTATAATAACTAAAACAGTGTGGTATTAACATAAGGACAGATAAATAGATGAATGAAATAGAAAAGAATCCAAAAATAGACATGGTCGATTGTTTTCTGAACAAAGCATCAAGTCAATTCAACAGAGAAAGGAAAGTCTTTTAAACAAATGAACAGCTGAATACCTAATGGAAAAATAAACTTTGACTCTTATGCAAAAATTAACTTGAAAGAGAAAACAGACCTAATGTAAGAACTAAAACTATAAAATGGCTAGCAGAAAATTTATAAACTGGACTTGATCAAAATTAACAACGACTGCTCTTTGAAGGACATCACTAAGATAATAAAAAGACAAGGAGGAGACTGGGAGATAATATTCATAATACATACATATGACAAAGTCCATTTACACAGATTCTATAACTGTTTATCCTATATGGAACATTTCTATAAAGAACTGTTACAAATTATAATTAAAATAACAAACCAATTTTTTTTTAAATGAGCTGAAGACGTGAACAGATACTTCCCACAAAAAGGGATATAAATGGACAGAAGATACATGAACGGGTGGCTCAACAACATTAGTCAACAGGGACATGAAATTAACCCAAAATGAGATACTATTTCACACCCACTAGAATGGCTAAAATAAAATACTGAAAACATCAAATGTCAACAAGGATGAGGAATATCCAGAACTTTCATACATTCCTTGTGGAAATGTAAAATAGTATAAGCACTTTGCAGAACTGTTTTGCAGTTTACTTTTTTATAAAGTTAAATACTCTTTGTATTACTCCCCCAAAGTGAAAGCGTAACTACAAAAAGACGTGTACAAGAATGTTCATGAAAGCCTTCTTCATAATGGCCCAAATGGAAAAGAACTATATATACATCAATAGGGGAATGGATAAACAAATTGTAGTCTGTTAACAACATGGAATGCTATTCAGAAAAAAGAAAAAGAAATGAACTCCTGGAATTTGCAACAACATGGCTGAATCTTAACACTGTACTGAATCAAAGAAGCCAGACATAAAAAATACATACCGTATGATTCCAATTATGTGAAGTATAAGAACAGGAAAAACTAATCAACAGGGGCAGAAGTCAGAACATAATTACCTTTCTTTGGGGGTGGGGAGAAAGTGTTGACTGAAATTTGGCACAAGCGAACATTCTAGGGTGATGGAAATGTTATGCATCTTATTATGAGTGGTGGATACATAGATAGATCAAATTGTTAAAACTCATTAACCTGGACACTTGGTAAGTGTCATGGATCGAATTGTGTCCCTCCGCAAAATATGTGTCAACTGGGCTAGGCCATGATTCCCAGTATTGTGTGGTTGTCCTCCATTCTGTAATCTGATGTAACTGTCCTATGTGTTGTAAATCCTAATCTCTGTGGTTTATGTTAATCCTTTTCAAATAATATGTGTGCTTAAAATCATTTCCAATCAGAAGCAAATGGTGCCTAGGGGAGGAAACAGGATCAAATATGTTTATAATCTGGTAATTGAACAATTACTAAAAAAGTTTGGAA